CTGTCCATTTGAATGGCAAAGGTCACAGAGAAGAGGCTGCCTACAAATGCACTGAAGAAAACAGAAACAGAACTCTCAGGCAATACCATTGTTTGTAAAACTCTATTATCATTTATAAATATATCTATATTTTTTTCTATAAAGTCATCAGGCTTGCAGTGCAAAAAAAAAGCAAAAATTTAAATTAACACCCAAAGTTTGAAGCATTTCGGGAAAGCATTGATTCTACCTGCCAATGGATTGAGTGCTTTTGGCAAATGAACTAATTAGCGTGGAGTGGTTCCTTCTCACTGCTCTGCGTCACGCTAATTGCAGGACTGCTGGCCTTCCCCTCCACACCCCACACCCTGCCCCAAGGAAGGAAAACAAGGACAGGGTGTGTGGCGAAAACAGTGACATTCAGTTCTAATTCATTTGAACCCGCTGCCAAGCTTAATTATGTAATTGAGGAGTGAGACCGGTGGGCTTCCAGCCACTTGGGCTGGGGTTTCTGATGGTTACCAGTCATGGGTGTTTTATCGAGGGTTTGAGCAGTCACCATACAGCATTATTAGCTGGAGCTGAACTAATCTCCCCACCCTGCCCCTCACCAGATGTAGCTACAGAGGTTCCTGTTCCCAGACTTGATTATTTGTCATTAAGGAAAGCAAATTGAAACCAAATTGAAGTTGCTTTTTTCCTTAGTGAATGTATCATTATTCTTCAGGGGCAACTTCGTATTTCATTTTGTTTTCTTCTCATTGTGATGTGGTGGACGCTGTCACATAAAACTCAGGAATGCCATGTTTATTTCTAAAATCCGTAGTGTTTTTTTTTTTTTAGGGTTGCTTGGGACATTTTTACCTCTGAACTTTGATTTTGATTAGTGAAATGTGTATGGAAAACACAGAAGTTGCTGAAATATTTCAGTTCTGGTAGCTTATTCTTTCTTGTGTGATGAGATTTATTTTTAATGGTAAATAACAAGAATAAGAAACTGTTTTGTTGGTGCGAAATCCTTCTAATAATGTTCATTCTTCCAGTTCCCAAATTTACTTCGCCAGTTCTTTATATTTCTATTTTATTTTCCTATTTATTTTCATTGACTTTAGTGAGGTGACATGGGGTAGTGAGATTATATAGGTCTCAGGTATACATTCTGTATCATCTGTATGTTGTATTGTGTGCTCCCCATCCAAAGTCAAGTGTCCGTCACCCTGTATCACCCCTTCATCCTCTTCTACCTCCCCCCACCCTCCTTTCCCTCTGGTAATCACCACGCTGATATCCGTGTCTATGAGGGTTTTTGTTTTTGTTTTTTGCTTAGTCCCTTTACCTTTCACGTTTTTCACCCAGCCCCTCCCCCTCCCCCTCCCCCTGGTGGCTGATTCTCTATAATTTTGTTTCACCTGGCCTCAGCTCCCCTGTTGCTATGGAGCCTTCAAGAGAAAAGATATTGTGTAGGAAGGGGGCATTGTCCATCGTTGCTGGCACGGTGGCCCCTTAGAAATGCACTCTTCTCCAAGTCCTTCCATCCCCTCCCTGATTCAGAGAAAGCTGAGGCTGTCTCCTTCCTCAGAGATTCCTTTGGTTTGGATTGGAGTTCAGCCCTGGACATCAGCATCATGATTTTGTAATGCCCTGTGTAACATTCGGGGTGTGGAAGGATGGGGCGAAATCCAGAGAAAAGAAGCTGCACTGGCCTAGAGGCCAAGAGTCCTGAAGGCGGGGCTTGCTTTTCTGGGCGGCAGCAGGGCTGCACCAGAGCCCTGACTCTTCAGCATTGATAGTGTTCTTTATAGCCAAAGTGTATCGACGGGCCTTTTTACCTGTTAATTTCCATGGTAGTCCCGTGCAGCACATAAGCATCTTTTAAACATGCTTTCAGTTCATTGCAACAGATACTTAGCAAGCACAGGCTGTGTGTTAAATACAGTCCCAGTGACTAGGGGTATACAAGGAAATAGCACTGGTCACCAAGAGTCTCTTTGTTTCTCTTCCACGTACAGTGAGCAGAGGAGGGGGTCCCTCTTTTAGCAAAGCCCTGTGTTTCATAGAAGTTCTAGATGCCCTCACGGCCTTACCTTCTCAGGAATATTATTGTGATATTATTATATAAAGTATCCCCTTGCCCTCCTGTGGCTTTAATTTCTTATTTTCTGCTTGATCTTCTTTATAGATATTCGAAATTACCAAGAACAATCCCTTAATAGGTGCCACAAATACATAGTTATTAAATAACTTAAATAAATTACCAGTAGTTCTCTACCTGGACTTCACATTGAAATCAGCTAGGAATAGACACGTGCATGCACACACACACACAAGTGTGTGTGTATGTGTAAACATTCAGACCATAGTCCCAAAAATATCGATTTCATTTTCTGGGGGGTGAGTCCTGAACATTGGTAATTTTTTAGCTCCCAATATGATTCTAGTGTGCAGCTAAGGTTGAAAAGCATGGTCTCTTCTGTCTTTGAACAAACACAAACAACTCATTAGACCTCATGTTCCCCACTAGCTAAAGCTGTTTATTAATTCTCCACCCAGCCAAGGTCACGGCGTGAAGGCTGGTGAGCACTCTCTCTGCCTCCTCACCTTTCACTCTTCAGCTACTCCAGCAGCTTTGTTCCCTGCCACTTGCCCAAAGCAAATCACAAGGGCAGCCACGCTCCCAAATACACTGGGCATTCTCGGCTCTCCTCGGCCTCAGACTCGACGTTACCTTCCTGATTCCATTCTTGCTGTCCCCTTTCTCCACAACCGTTCAATCTTTAGCAGAAGCCAGTTGAAGTGACACTTAAAAAAATGCTGACCATTTCATACCACTGCTCCTTGAGACTTTCAATAATAAACAATCAATAGTTAGATTCTACATTATATACACTCTCATTTTCTTCCAAGGGAGACAGGCTATTTTGTCTTTATAGATTCATTTATATCGTTGTTTGTTTTATGTCCATGAACTGTAGAAAGATGGGAATTAGAGTTGCTTTATTCACTATTATATACCCTGAGGCTGGTGAAGTGCCTGACGTGGAATTTCATTATTGAATGAAAGAATAATCGTGGGAATGGGTGAGGAAGACTGGCCAAAGCGTGCGGTGGAGGGAAGCGCCTGACTTAGCCAGTTCTGCTGGGAACTCGACCACTCCGTTCACAAATGTGCTGAGTGAACAAGCTGGGCTGAATTCTTTCATGGAATGGTTTTATCCCATGTCCTAACTTCAAAATCCAAGGGAGTTACAACAGTTGTGTTCTCTCCATGGTGGCCTTCAGGGGCCACTAGGAATAGATTGCCAAGTGAGGTTATAAAGCAATTCATTGTATAATGTGTGTCAGGAGGGCATATGCACACCTGGCTTCCAATTCTGGACCTGCCAGTTGACAGCTAATGATTGGTGTCACCTCTGTTGAGCCTCAGTTTCTTCATGCAGGGACATGAAGGGACATGAGGACAATAGTACATGAAGCCATTAGAATTTCACCAGGTGTGCACATGGCAACCACCCCATGCATGTCTGACACTTGGGAGAAAATGTCTACATTGTTTATTATCCACTCCACGCAACTCTAATGCTTGACTTACCTTGTTCTTTCTCTCCTTTCTTTCTGCTTTTTTTTTCTTATCTTACTCAGCCTAGTGGGTGGTAACACTCATATTACTCACATAGTTTGACTTTTGTGGGAAGAGAAGAATTAGTAGTGTTACAGAGCAGGCTTTCTTTTGGATTAGAAATACAAACTTCACAGCTACTCTGCCCAGCGTTTCAAGAGCATTTTACGGTATACTGCTGGGTAACAAGTTCATTTTAGGATAACATGCTGGGAGGAAGAAAGAAGAAGGGATTCGAGGGGAGAAAATTAAAAAGTTAATTAAAAGAAACAACTTGGTAATTGAATTCTCTTGCGCATTTCTTTGGTGTTTTTTTGGAGAGGGAAGTCACAGTGCATGGTTAGTAGGTTTGCCTTTGTAGTTCACCTCGAAACTTCTAAATGAGACAAGTACATGAATACAGAGCCAGTCCCTGCCTACTCGATGAGAAGAGGCATAGGTTACATATGGTGGGCTTTTTAGATGTGCCAAACAAAGCTGCCCTCATATTCATTTTTGAGCATTTTTATGTTTAAGCATTCTTGGCAGCTTACATTACTGTTAGGCTAAGTCCTGGACTCATATCAGCTATTTTATGGGCAGGCAAAATCCCTTTTTCATTTATTCTCTTTTACTGGCTATTTCTTTGACCTCACTCTACACACACACACACACACACACACACACACAGGCAAGCACACAATCAGTGAACACTATAGGCAACTCTTGTGCCCTTTTCAGATTGCACTTTATTAACAAGTAACATGGGTGTTTTAAAAGTCTTTACGTAGTTTAAAATCTGTTCCTTATTTTGAAAAGATTGAATATTTATGTCATTATTGTTTTTATCACAGATCACTTCAGAGTCAAAATAATTTATTTAAGATGTGATTGAGAAAGATAAGCTCCTGTAATGAATTAGGCTTTGGAATCAACTGGAGCTAGGTTCAAACCCTACCTCTCAATAATGACCTTTAATAATTCACGTAGTTAACATGTATTGATTGAGTGCCTACTGTGTGCTAGGCACTGTTGAGGTTGCTGGTGATGATATCTTTAGGCAGGTTCTATCATGGCTTCTATTAACATCACCATTTTTGAGGCTTTGAAACTAACTTTAGAGAGAAACTTTAAAAAAATATTTTTGAGGATTTTGTGTTCCTCATTCTTCTAGCAAATCCATTGAGGAAAGTAGAACAGGTTGCTGATTGCACACCCAGTTTCCAAAGCCATGTCTAGAGCATAAGACTTACTATTTTATTCTTAATGATACTGTAATTTTTCAGACGTGGTAAGGGCCATAGATTGAGAGCCTTTATTCTCAAGCAGGGTCATGAATGCAAGTGTGATCTCAAATGCACATCCCATAGCTATGGCAGCGATGCAGCTATTTGTGAGTGCTAACAAGGGGTTTGTGTTTTCACAGGCTATGGTTTTGTGGATTTTGACAGTCCCGCAGCTGCACAGAAGGCAGTAGCATCTCTCAAGGCAAATGGCGTGCAGGCACAGATGGCCAAGGTAAGATTGGTATTTTAGATTGTTTGGTGATCATGTATTTCCCCATTGCTCTGAGCTGTATCAGAATTGCACTGGGCAACAATTTGGATTCTATTCACTTGTCAGGGAAAATAAGAAACTCCACAATAAGTCTGGCTTAGAAGAATCTGGCTGGTTTATGTGTTTTATGTGTTTTCCTATCTATATGAGTATATATATTAATGTGCTCTTTTGTTATGGTAACCTCACTAGGAATGTAAGGGCACTTTCAAAGGGCTGTTATGCCTGAAAAAGGGGTGTGTGTGTGTGTGTGTGTGTGTGTGTCTAGGAGTTCTAGCAGGAAATAGAGTTGGAATGGTCCAGTTCTCAGCAAGTTGTCTTTGATAAGCAGTGCTAAAGAATTTCCCACTCTCGTATTGGGGAAAGATGATTACTGAATGATGAAGACTTCTTATCTGCACAGGAAAATGAGGTTAACCAAAGTGTTTGTTGTCTGTTTGCTAGAATTTCACTTTGGCCTTTATAAATAGAGTTTACCTAGATAATACTTTTCTGGATAGTAATAATTTTCAACACACATTTATTGGTATGTATAACAAGTAGTCTGGAATTTCCTATTGAAATTATGAGGCATTTTTATACTCAAGAAAATAAATACAATTGTTTATAATAGTTTTGTATCCGACTGCAGTGGCAGGAATGAGAATCTACAGGTATGATAAAATGACATACAACTAGACACAGTGTACCAATATTAATTTCTTGGTTTTGATATTGTGCTGTAATTACACAATATGTAATCTTGGGGAAAACCAGACAAAGGGTAGAGGGGATCTCTCTATATGTTCTTTGCAAATTTCTGTGAATCTATAACTATTTCCAAATAAAGAGTTTTTTAAAAATTACCACATAAGGATATTTGGTACATATTTGCTCTAAAATAATAATCATTTTGTATTTGTTTTGCATGCAACTTAATTTTTGAAATGTTTTTCTGATGACTATTTCTATTTGAGTTTGTTTATCTCTAATTTTCAAAAGTTAGGCAGAAGAGCCAGCCGACCTTGAGGTTCACTTGTGTCATGTTCATTTCCACACTTACCCTTCATTATTGCTATGACAGCTGAGTGATGTAATGGCAAAGTCATCAAAATGGCAGTCGTTGGAATTTTTTGTGATCACTAACGTTCACTGATAACATTTTCCAGAGGTGGGATGTTTGGTTTTCTTCCTCTTCAGTTGTCTTCTAGCAAACTGATACCACCAGTATCTGTTAACCTTTTGTTGTGGGTCACTTCTCATATAGATTACTTTGATAGACTCATTGCCCTCTCTGACTCATTAATTGCTTTTCAAGGCAGCATAAATTAGAGTTTGAATTATTTCAGCTATGTAATTTATTCCTCATCAGGATTATTCTTGGAAGCTTTGAATTTGGTCATGACCTAAGATTGATTAAGTTAATATTAGTAATTAATAAGGAAATTATGTACATGTCTTGGTTTAAAGCTTACGTGGCAAAGAATTAAGTTTTCGTGGAAACTTAAGTAGTAACTTATACCTTGGAAACACATGATATAGTTTCTAGGAATACACAAAATATAAAAGTTGGATTTGGATTGAAAGGCAGCACCTATTGACAAGAAAACAACTAGACAAATGCTTATACACTTTTTATTGGAATATCTCTGGTTTATTTCATTGATAAACTACCAGGTTTTAGAAATGGTTAATTAGTGCCAGTTTAGAAGCAATGAATACAGTGTGCATAGTCTCCACTTTTTCAAATGTTCTGAAAATATATAAAGACCACTTACTGGATAAAAACCACTACCTTCTTGCATAACAGGAAAAGAAAGTTGCCATTAGTTTTATAACTATTAAGGAGTCATATGAATATTTTCTCTCTGTTCTCAGCATTCTCCTACACAAGGACTCTCTCTGCCTCTCTCACTCTTTGCACCCAGTCACTGACAATTCACCTAAACAATGGGAAATGTTTTTTTTAAAGATTTTATTTATTTATTTTTAGAGAGGGAAGGGAGTGGGGGGGGGGAGAGAGAGAGAGAGAGAGAGAGAGAGAGAGAGAGAGAGGGAGAGAGAGAGAGGGAGAGAGGGAGAGAGGGAGAGAGAGAGAGAGAAACATCAATGTGCGGTTGCTGGGGGCCGTGGCCTGCAACCCAGGCGTGTGCCCTGACTGGGAATCGAACCTGTGATACTTTGGTTCCCAGCTCATGCTCAATCCACTGAGCTATGCCAGCCACGGCTGGAAAATGTTTTAAGGAGCTTCTAAGAAAATTATTTATTGTAGCTAGTGATCTAATTTTTAGCTCTTACTCAGTGTGCACAGCAGGAGATTCCCACTGGACTGTTTAAAGACACTTAACTTTATTTAATTTCATTATTTTATTTTACTTCTAGATTTGCTGAAAGACTTCTACCTTAGCAGTTATGCTGTCTGTAGTATAAATTCTCATTCCCCTTTTTCTCACAAACTTTGTATCTAAAGCCCAGAGCTTTAGGTCCACATCTACCTACTGGAAAACTTTCAGCAGTAAATGACTTTATAATTTAACTACCCAGAAGCAAATAAATAGCCTGTCTTTGACAATGAAATGGAACAAGCTTGAACACCTGTATTAGCAGATTTTTCACTGAGCTTTTGGATTTCATGGCATTTTTCCCTTTGTCCAGGTGATAACTATTATTTCTTATCATATAAATCTGCATTCTTCAGGGTATGTGAAACTTGAACAAAAAAAAAATATATATATATATATATATATAAATATTTTTTGCCACTTAAGTGTCTAGTGAATTGCCTCCTGCATCCTTGTTCTTATTAATATCCCACCATGCAGGTTGTGATGCCACCTTTTAACACCTCCAGGATTTTAAAGCAAAAAGTGCTGCAAATACTCCAGGTTCCCAGTAGCACCCTGGCGTGAACATGAAACCTTCCAACTGAATCAGTTCATTTAGTTAACACTCCAATATGTGTATATGAAAAATTCAACCAATTTGTCAACAAAGAATAATTAAATGAGAAATCATTCAGTAAGTGGTAACTGGTTAATATTGTATAATTGTTGCCCTGGCTGGGTTGCTCGGTTGGTGAGAGGGCCATCCCAACATGCCAAAGTTGCAGTTTCGATCCCCGTCAGGGAACATACAAGGATCAACCAATGAATGCACAAAAAACCCGAACAGCACACTGATGTCTCTCTCTCTTTCTCCCTACCTCCCCACTCTCTTTCCCTCAAAATCAACAAATTAAAAAATTTTTAAAAATAATGCATAACTATTAACACAGACTAATATTTTCTGTATACTTGCTGTTCTGGGAAAAGGGGATTTTAAGGATCAACGATTATATTTCTTTTAGGAAAGCAGATCTAGAATATTTTAGTAATACATAAAGTATTACTAGTAGTTAAGAGCATAGGTTTGGAGAGAGAGAGACTTAGCCTTGAATCCTGGCTCAGATACCACTGGGCTAAGTTATTTAAATATCTTTGAAAATCTCTGATAATAATACCTACATTAGACAATTGCTGTGAGAATTAATTTTGATAAACTACACAAAAATTTAGCATAATCCTTAAATTATACAAAAATTCAATAAATGTTCATTATTCAATATATGTTTTTCATAAAATTCACATTTGTTACTGAACATTCTATAACATATGCTTTAAGTGTAGTGTTATCACCAAGCAGTTTCTTGAGAAATTTAATCAGTAGTATCCATCAATAAACATTTTTACTGCCTGCTAAGTGCCAGGAACTTCACTAGTTTTTGGGGGAATCAAAATTGAACAAAACTTCTTTCTTATTCCAGATTTTTAATATTTAATCTATGTCCTCATTCTGCTACGGCTCTGGATTAAGAATAATGGCTGCCACTATTCCTGCCAACCTCAAAATGTTTAGAAGAAAGTCATTGGCTAAAGAACATGTCTCTGTATGCTTAAAAGGAAGAGAGCCAAGAAATCCACCTAACAGTAGCCTAACCTTGTAGATGTTTATTTCGCTCATTAATAAGACAGCCGTAGATAAGCAGTGCCTGATAAATGCTTTGGAGTCACATCAAAATCTAGGCTGCTCTGCCATTTGTTATGAGTGACTTTCATTCGTCCATATTTATCTATTGGTGTCTGAAGCCCTAGCTCTTGCATCCCTATTTTAGGCAGGACCTAACACCTATATGATTTTATTAACCAATGTCATCCCAATAAATTCAATAAAACGTCTATAAAAAGAAGAAAGAAAAGGAAAAAAGGCTGAAGGACCATCTAGCTGATTCTATCCTTTCAAAAGCTTTCCCAGAATTTAAACTTAAGAGCTTGGGTTCATATAGCAATAGGCAAAGCTGAGTCATGGTTCTCCCCTCAGCTGCAAGAGTCTAGGATGACAAATAATTTAACTTCTTTGCCTCGAGTAGAGAAAATTAAGAATAGTCATCGTTTGGTCTATTTAATGTCAATAACACCGTTCTTCTCATGTATACATTCTGGGTGGCACGCATTCATTCCTTCCATAAAGCAACCTACCTTCAAGTTCCATCCTTTAATCACATCTAGTGATGCTGTTATTTCCAGCAGGTGTAGACACAGCTGAAACTCATGGTTTGGCAATATATAACTTTAAAAGACAAGTTGTATGTCTGAACTCCTGTAATTTAGAGTGATCGAGAAACAACAGGATACATGAAACAAAATAAAAGACTACCATTTAGGAACAGAGAGAATGGAAAACCAGTGGAAATCCCTGATTGCTTATACATGTCCAATACTGTTGGGCAGGAATAGAATCCTAGCTTTGTCAGCACAGTAAGTTCTTTGGTTAACTGACTATTTAACCTCTGTTGGCCATCTATAAGGATTTCTCTTGCTCATTCTTTCCCATTGCTTCATTGAGGCCTTACCGGAGGGCTGTACTGCTTTAGGAGCTGAGTTTTTTTGGGTGTAAATTTCTAGGTTCTAGAACAGCTCTATATATTGAACACCCATAAATTGTTA